CTGGCTACACGCAGCCCCGCCGCGCTCCACTCATGGCGCCGAGGTCCGCGGTGTCTCGCCAGCACGCCGCATGCCGTTAAAATCATCGAGGTTCCCCTTGGGCGTCGGGGCGCTGTCTGGGTGCCCGTGGCAGGTGACCGTCGCGAACCTGCTGACGCGTGGGACGCCTGCTCTGTGCGTCGCCCAGGCGCGTGCAGCAGGTCGATTCATCGCGGCGCATCCAGAGCGCAGCATGATTTGGGCGACCCTTGCCATGAAGCGCGCGCGGAGCTTGCCTGGGGTCCAGGCCGTCCGGGAGGACCAGCGTTGGCCGGCGCGATGGCTCAAAAGCGCCCCGCGGATGTGAAATCCTGTCCCAAGGGTGCTCTGGGCCACGCGCGCCCTCGACGACGTGGGGCAGCGGGATCATCCCGGGCTTCCAGACGAGTTCGTGCAGGAACCGGTGGCCGCCATGCAGAAGGAGTTTTTGGCTCCTGGGAATTTTCTGAACATCCCAATCGGAACAGACACGAGCTTTGTCAGGGCCCAACTCGCCGCTGGCCTCGTGGCGGCCGCGGGGGACCCGGACGACGTCATGGCGTCGCGGTTTCGGCAGGGCGCGCCCATCGGCATGAACGAGATGATCTCCGAGCGAAGCATCTTTCCGCCATCGGACGGCCTTGAAGACTCAAGAGGGTCGTTGCAGGGCGCCGAGGAGATGGCCCCATAGACGTCCAGCGTAGGAAACTACGCCTCCTTCGACCAGAACAGCGAGCTGGTTGCAAGCTGCTGCCCTCGCACATGGCAGCGATAGCGAAGAAGGCGAAGAAGAAGCATAACAGTCACGCAAAGACCAGGTTAATCCACGATTTACGTCGTAGCCGCGTGAACGATCTTGCCAAGATCCCCGAACACCATGGCTGGCATCGCGAACAAGTACGACGAGCGGGAGGTCCCAGAGTGCGTGGCCGTGGATTCCATGGATGCTTTCAAGCATTTGCCCGTCCGCCCGTCTGAGAAGCGGTTTGTAGTCGGGCAAGGCTGTCCTCAACCGAGAGTTTGGTTTCTTCGTGCAAGTACCACTCCGTCCTGTTCGGTGCGATTGACGGCCCACTGGTTTTTGGCCGGGTCGCCACCCCACTTCCGAGGATCGCCGCCGCTAGCAGCGAGCTTGGGCGAGCGGGTCTTCCATGAGTACGTGGACGACCCGCTCGTGGTCTCGAGAGGCAGCCCAGATCGTCGCAACCGCGTGCTCCTCATGGTCCTTTCTGCCTGGACAGCGCTGGGCGTCAAACTTTCGCGGGCGAAAGGCTCTCGCGGCCAGACCAACTGGATCGGCGCCCGCTTGCCTGAGAAGCTTATGTCCTGTGCGTGGCAGCCTGGACTTGGCGCGACCTTTTGCGCTCGGCGCCGAGGCGGCTGTCCCTCCACGGCGACGCGAAAGGGGTCCTTCAGGCGGTTGTGCTCGATTACGCGAATGCCACATGATCAACGCCATCGTCGCCAAGGTGCAGCTCGCCCTGGGGAGGCACCACGCACGCAGTCACCAGCTCGCACTTCTGGAGAGAGGAAAATCGCGCGTGCGGCGCCCTCTCGCGCCCGACCGGCGACACGGCACTCCTTCCTGAGCTTGCCCGAGCAGAGCGCTCGCAAGCCCAGCAGCGCGGGCCTTGGCGCATCCCTGGGCGCTTATAGCGCCTGGCATTTATCTCTCCAGGCCGCAGTATTCTTACGTAGCCGATTGACTGGTAGGAGAAATAGAAGGGCGCGCGCGCAGGCCGACCCTCTTTTGCCAGGAGGTGTAAAGGTGTGCTTGCGGCTTTCCCGTCGAGGTGCGCGGCAGATTCGCATTGCGCTGTTTAGCGGAAGCGCCATCTATTGTTGAGCGCAGGTGCGTGTTTTCAGGGCGCGGCGTCGTTGGCCAGCGTGTCAGTCCGTGCCAGATCCCCTTGTTTACGCCGGTGGATGCGTGGGGATGCGCGTGAGCCCCTTATTGTTGAGCAGAGGAGTGCCCGCGTCGTCCCGTCGAGGTGCGCGTGGTTGCAACTTGCGCTCTTCAGCGCAAGGTCGCCGCGTGCCGTCCAGGAGTGGCGCCGCTGGTCAGCGCGTCGCTTCGCGCTGGGTCCCCCTGTTTTGGGAGGTGGAGGCGCGAGTGCGCGTGGTCCTCTGCTGCTTAGCAGAGGTGTGCCCGCGTTGTCACATCGAGGCATGCGCGGGCGTGCGCGTGCTGTTTAGCGCGTCGTTGCCTGCGTGCCCTCTCAGGTCCATGTCGCGAGCGACCGAATCGCTGCACGCAGAATCCCACTACGCAGGGCGGCGGTGGCGGGCTGACGAGGCGACGGGGGCCCGTTTCGGGGGATGCCAGCCCGTCGAGGGGGGCCCGACGAGGATCCGAAGGCCGCTTACGCGCGTCGCTTGAGGGGCAGGATTTGTCCGAGAGCCTCCCGCCCTGCCGCGCGCACGCTGCGCCGTGGCCATTTCGTTGTGCTGTTCGAGAAATGCCAGAGCTGCTATGGAGTTCTTCTCTGAGGCGGACTTGGCGGCATGCGTCCCTGGAGCTACGTCACGGCGGTCCTCGCCGCATGTGGAGATGGGGCGAGTAGCTCCTTTCGCCGACGGCGTGTTTACGCAGAGCGATGTCGGACCTGTCCGCAAGCTCGCGCCTGTCGCGCCGACGCGCCAGCTTTCCGCTGGAGCCCAGGCCGCTTCCTGAGTGGGCCGCGTCTTCGGCTTGTCGGACGCTGCCGGCACGTGCGGCATGAGGATCGACCCCGCGCACGGCATGAGGGTCGACCCCATCGTGAAGGCGAACGTGGCGTCGACTACAGAGCCTTCGCGTGCCTGCGCGCCCCAGAAGCGCGGCGCCAAGTCGCGGCGACCGCGCCTCCTCCCTCTCAGTCGGGAGCTCGATCCCCACAGGGCGACCTGCTCCAGCTCCGACGAAGATGCCGGCGACGAGTGTGGCATGAACGCTGCCGAGGCGCTCGGCGCGGCGGACGCTGCCGCGGTGCCCGCTGCGGCGGAGGCGCATTCCCTTTAGGGCCGCCGGGCCAGTGCGACATCCGCACCGTCGCGGGTCAAAGGTGCGGGTCGACGACATCGATGGCGATGTTGCAGCGCGCGGGGACCTTGCAGCAGCCCGCGACATCGAGGGGATCCATAAGGTCGAAGGCCAAATTTTGTGCAGACCAGTGCAAGGTCAGAGATATTGATCTTGTGCCCATCACGCCCAAGAAATTCGAGTTGGCTTACACTCTGCTGAAGAAACGGGTGTACCGGAGCGGTGCACTTTACGTTGTCACCATCAAGAGGCTCCATTTTTCACGTGGCTTAGCGAAGGACTCTAACAAGGCCTTCTCGCGAGGAATGGGGCCATCGAGGCAGGCCGACCCCCTTCCTACTGAGGGGGTCGTCGAGTACGGCACCCCAGAGATCGTGCAGATCATCATTCGGCTGGGTTGTCCTCATGTCGCTCCAGCGGACGCGGCGGTCGTGGCGTGCGCCTGGCTGCTGCGCGACACTGAATCGTCTACTGCGTTCCTATCCGCGGTCACGCTCCACGACGCAAATCCAGGACAGCATAGATGTGGCTGAGCATCCTGGGACCTCCCTGCGTCCAAGGTGGACATCCGAGCGATCGGGAAGGTCAGGTCTTTGGCCTGCGCTTCTCCCGCGAAGTTGTGCCCCGTCGCGGCCGTGCGTCGTCTTGTCGCTGCTTCCGAGGCGGCACGGGCGTCTGCAGGCCAGGCCGCGGATTCATGGCCGCTCGTATGCGACGTCCAGGGCCAGCTGGTCACCAAGGCCGCCGTCGTGGGCATGTACAAAGCGTTGGTCGCGCTGGGTGCGGGCTCGGGCGCACGCCCCAACATCACCGGGCATTCTGCAAGAGTCACGGGTGCGATGCTCATGGCCTTGGATGGCTTCAGCGAGTGGCTCATTCAGTTGATTGGGAGATGGGCTCGAGTGCAGTACTCGGGTACATGCGTGAAGCCCTGCTTGGCAGGAAGGGGGCGTCATCGCGAAGGTCACGGAAGCCTCCAGGGTCACAGTGGAGGATCTGAATGTTCGCGTCATGGGCATGCTGGACAAGCATCACAAGTGCAACAAGGGTCAGGCCGAAACCCGCGCCGACCCCACTCTGGGGCGCTTCGTGGCCGACATCGCGCCGCAGGTCGAGATGCTTGGCGGCAAGTGTTCCACCCTCGCCGGCACCATCGCGAGCCTCAACTAGAGGATGCAGGATGTCGATCGGGACCTGAACATTCTGAACAATACCGAGCAGCCCAAGGACATCAAGTGCGTAGGTGGCATGAAGAACGTTCTCTTCACGCAACACCAGACCTGCTGCGGCTGGTGCTGGTACGGCGGGAGCTTCGAGCTGCTTCGTGAAGGCCCGGGCGATGCCCCAGACAAAGAATGGTGCAGCAGATGTTTGAAACGTACGCGCGTTTTGCTGGAGTGGATATATAGGTGCCGTGGGCCAGGATGAGGCTGGTATAGAAGGAGGCTACCTTCAAGCGCAGTGGGCGCCTTGGCAGGCAAGTGCGCCCAGATCCCACGCCATGTCGCCAGGTCGGTGGGCCGCATAGGGGTAAGCAAGTCCCTTGGGGTGCGGCCAGGACCCCGGCACGAGTCGGCCCGCGGACCTATACAGCATGACTGCGGCGAGGAAGAAATGTGGGCGAAGTGTCGTAACGCGTCCTGCCTCCCTCACTGATGCTTGGCGTGACGATGTCCGTGTCCCCCAGAACACATGAGAACCCGCTCTCCAAACTAAAACTTCTAGAATCGTTCGATTCCTTGTCACCCTCCTCATCTGCGCCATCTGGGCCGCTCCAGGCCCTCGCCCAGCCGTGGCGACGAGGGGTGCCCCCGAATGCCCAGAAAGAGGTGAGGCGGAGGAGCACGAGGAGGAGGAGGAGGAGGAGGAGGAGCACGAGGAGGAGGAGGAGGAGGAGAAAGAAGATGAGGCGTTCCTCGCCCCCCTTTTCTCTCCCTCTTGACTGCCGCCCGCGCCCCAGGAAACGCTGGGACCCCTGCAAGGGTGCCGAGGGATGGGCCGGCTGGTTGGGAGGACCGGGCAGTCCTCCTCGTCATTGCTCTCCTCCCCTTCCTCTTGGTCTTGGTCCTTTGTTGTTGCTGTTCTCCCTCCTCCACATCAGCGGTATTCGCCCCTCCTCTTCGTCGTAGGCGACTTGCCAACCTCATGTTCATCGCTATGCTGCTCGCTGTCAGTCATACTCCTCGTGTTCTTCCTTCCTCCTTCCTCATTATCCCCATCCTCCTGCCTTCCTGCTTATCATGGTCCTCATCCTTGTCGTGCTTTTTATCATCATGGTCATCATCATCCTTTTCATCTTCATCCTGGTTCCCATCCACCACCATCAGGCTCAGATCTGTACTCTTCCGAATTACAACCAGCAGCATCATCATCCTTATCTTCCTCCTCGGAGGGGAAGGGAAAGGGAGGCAGGGGTAGGAAATGGAGGAGGAGGAGAAGGAGACGAGAGAGGAGATAAGCGAAGGGGAGGGGGAGAGCGAAAGAGGGGGGAGAGGGAAAAGGGGAGAGGAGAGGACCGCCGAACGGCGAACAATATGCCCAGAAGGGGGGGTCGCGGCGGAGTCATGATCTTTCGGGGGGACCTTTCGAGGCTCAGGTAAATTGTAAAGGGATCTCAGGCGAGAACGCGATACCTAATCAACTTAAGCGGAGATGTCGGGCGAGAGCGCCAATCTTGAGTACGAGTGCGTCTCTGGCCAGGGCGTGTCTGAGATTGTGCGAAAGTATCGAGCGGGAGTCGTTGTTGCTGTGATAGTCGGGCCTTCGCCAAACGAACGAACGTAAGCCTTGCGCCGGGCGGCGCGCGAGCAGGGTGACGCATGTGAGAATTAGCGCCGGAAAGCGGCACTGTTCACATCGTGTTCCACTCCTTCACTGCTGACTCCCACTACCCGCCGCTGCTCTGTCGTCCCGACAGAAGAATACAGACAGTGGCTTCTGGGAACGGCAGCGGGCGGACAATCGCGTATGACCGTGTCGCTCCAAGATTGTCTTGGGCGCCCTCGCATGCGCGGCCCAGATGGGGCTGGAGAACACATTCGACCAGTTCGAAAACCGAGCGTCACACCGGGTCTTCTCAGTTGTGTTTCTTGCGAGTTGCACCATGAGGGGCAGTCGTCGGCTCGCGCGTGTCCAGATAAGTGTGGAGCGCGCGCAGAAAGAGCGCTCCAGATTTCGAGATCTTGCCTTGCTGCCCTGTCCGGCTACTCATCTCAGACCCAAGCTTGTGTTCTGTAGAAGAACGGGTGCCCAAGCATGCGGCTGAGTTTTTGAACGCGATTGGAGCGCCAAAAGCATTCAGAATGTTGGTGTCAGGCCTGGCTTACATTATTGCACTGGTTGCCAATTCAATGTGAGTCCGCAGTGCATCCCGCAAGTCAAGATGGAATGTATGAGTGCTTGCACGGTGTAAGGATCGCTGTCAATCAATAGGGTGTCATCTGCATTGAGGAGCTCTCTGACGAAATCTCCCGGCAGCTCGCCCAAGTTCGTCTGCAACAAATTGCGCGCATCCGTCAGGAGGGTGGTCGTCACAATCTTGAAGAGGAAGGGGGAGAGTGGACAGCATTGAAACATTCAATTAAGTTCGGGCGTGCTCGGCAGACGTTTCGTCAAAGTCGCTCACGACGAAGGTGCGGTCCTGGTAGATGGAGGCCACAACGCGCACGAATTGGCCAGGACATCCAAACCTTTTCAGAGAGGCCGCGAGCGCCGTCGGCGAAACCAAGAGAGTCGAAAGCGTTGGCCCAACCTATTGCAAGCAACAGGGTCTCGCCGTCTTTGGTTGCCCAAGTACCTTCTATCACCCGTCTTGCGAGGATGGTGGCGTCTGTTGTCCCCCTGCGGGCGGAGAAGCCGCATTGCGATTTCCAAATTTTATCTTCGGCGCCAGCGTCCGTAAGACGACCCAGAAATATCGCGGCGATTACATTGTAGCCAAACTGAGGAGTAGACTAATAAGTCTGCAATTGTCGCACAACGCCAAAATACTTGTCTTGAAGACCGGGCGAAAGTTGGTTTCCCTCCCAGCGTCTAACACGCGCGCCTGCATCCGTATCTTGTTACAGAAAGCGGTGATCCGCGACAGCACTGTCTCGCCATCGCCAGCAGCTGCCTTCAGAACTCTAGGGAAATGTGTCCCTCCTGGCTGCTTTTCCGCCCCGCAGTCGTTTGGCCGTCTTGCGGACTTCGACTCCGGTGATTGGAACGAGTAGCATTGGCAGCTCATCGTGGATTGGCTTCTCGTCGGGCAGCACTAGCGAGGGCCCTACTGCCCATTGCACCGTTTCCATATGCGTGGCTAACGTCTCGGCCCTGGCATCGCTGTCGACCAGGGCGCCAGCAGCATTCCGGAGGCGTCCCTGCTGCGGGCATAACCATGTCCGTAGTTCCCGCACATCCCGAATTGCCGTCTGCAGTGAGCCTGTCAAGCTAGTTCGAGCGGTCCCGCGCCACAGATCTTCGAACACATTTGGCAAGGCTGCGCTCTTCCACAGGATCTCCTGACCGTCGCGCCTCCCCTCGCCAGGCGATCAGATGCAAGGATCTATCCGTCACCCACGGCCTGCGCGCAGCAGCCAGTTGCACCAGCCATAGTAAGTTGAAGTCTCGGGCGAGAGCGCCATTGAAGTCGAATCTGGCCAGGGCGTCTTTCAGTAAGAAGCATCGAGCGGAAGCCGCAATTGTTGTAGCTTCGCCTTCCCAACCTCAATGCATTCCGAGGAATCCTCGGGCGCGAGCCCCATTCCTGAGTGTGAGGACGTCTATGGCCAGAACGTTTCTCGGCAAGTTCTTAGACAGTATTAAGCGGGCGGGGCCCGTCGTTGTCCGGCGAAGACGTCATTCCTGAGTGAAGTCTATGGCCAGGACGTCTCCGAGTAAGCATTGAGGATGTATCCAGCGGGCGCCGTTGTTGTTGCAGCCGGGCCCTCACCAACAAGGGTGAAGTTCGAGGAGGTATCAGGCGAGAGCGCCACCCCTGAGTGTGAGAATCTTTCTGACCAGGACGTCGATCAGAAAATTATGAGGAAGTATCGAGCGGGAGCCATTGTCGTCGCAGCTCAGATTTCAACAACCCAGATTTGGAGCCAAGGCCGCGCTCGAGCGGGAGCCTCGTTTTCAGAGAGATTGTAGCCAGAGTCGACTCAAGAGCTCCCAGAACTGCCTCCATAGATCAGCGAGCAACCGTGCCCTGAGGCACGAGTTGGAGTGTCTCCGGGCCCTTTGGAATCATCCGTCCTCAGTCCTGAGTGAACGAGTAGTGTGAATGAGGATGGAGGGGCCCAGACCAAAAAACAAATCTCTTGGGGCGTGTCGCGTGTCCCCGCAACTTGCCGCATAAAAGTCTCGGAGCCAAGAGGGGCCCAAGACGGCCCAAGAGGCCCCCGAGACGGACCAAGGGCGCCCGAGTCGCCCGAAGGTTGTTCCAAGACGCCCAAACTGGCGTCCAGACGGCCAAAGAGGCCCCGAAGACGACCCAAGAGGGCTCCAAGAGGCCCCCCGGGGGAAGGGGACCTCAGGTTTTTTGAAAGAGTTTAGCGTTCTCGGCCCCAAGAGAGCCCCAAGAGTGGCCCAAGAGAGGCCTCAGAGTGGGAACACGAATCGACATTTCGTCGCCACCGTGCCAGGTTGTAGGTCAGAGGCCTCTTTGATGCCCGGGGGGATCTCTTGGGAGGCCTCTCGGGAGCATCTGGGAGGCGGTTTTGGGGTGTCTCTGGGGCCTCTTGTTCACTTGGGATATGATGTGTGCCTCTTGGGAGTCTCCTGGAGCTTCTGGGGGCCTTCGCGGGATCCTGCTGGCGGTCTCGGGAGTCGTTTTGAGGCGGAGCGCTCGAAATGTCGATTCGTGTTCCCCCTTCTCGGGCCTCTCTTAGGCCACTTTGGGGCTTGGGCCGTCTAGGAAGCCTTTTAGGCAGTCGGGAGAACGTCAACATCCTTCAAAACCTCGGGGCCATCAATGATGTTGGCCTTTCGGGGCCCTCTTGGGGCGTGTCGGGGGCCTCTTGGGCCGTCTGGAGGCCATCTTGAGCGTCTTGGAGCAATCTTCGGGCGACTAGGTTCGCTCTTGGACCTTCTCGGGCGCCTCCTGCGGCACTCTTGGGCCGTTTCGGGCCCCTCGCGACTCCGAAAAAAACATGGGGCAAGACGCTGGGACACGCGACGCGCCCCAAGAGATTTGAGAAGTTGGGGTCAGGATCCTGAAATCCTCATTCACTCAGGGCTGAGGACGGAGAATTCCAAAGGACCCGAGGATACTCCAACTCGTGCCTCAGGGCACGGTGGCGTACCTAGTTGCCTGCGTGCCAGTTCAGCACTCTGGGTGGCGACTATTCGAGGGGCGCACAGGAGGCCGGAACGTGTGGCACCTCGTGCTTCCTGGTTGGAGAGAGCCATCACATGTGACACGTTATTCCGCATCGTGTGGGTATGTCCCGCCTCGACGTCAGGCCTCGTCCAGTCCTAATGTGTCCTTCTCTCCATGTTCCTCCTAACTAACCTCCTCGCCGCTTCTCCTTAGCCCACCCTGTGAGCGGCAACGGTTGGAGCAGCGCCCAGAATGTCGTAACATGGGCCACGGGGCGCCTTATTCTGGCCGTGTTGGGTCTATCTTGGGCTCCTGTGAGGCCGTATTGCGGCCCTCTCAGGACCCTCTTGGGCTACCTTGTCGTTCGCTTGACTTCCTTGGGCCCCTCAAGGTCATCTGGGGTGTCTCTTGGGCCTGTATTGAAGAATGTTGGAATTTCTTGGGCCATCTTAGGGCCCTCGGGGGGGTCCTGGGCCCTTCTTGGGCCGTCTTGGATCTCTCTTGGGGGTAATATGAGCTGTCTGGGAGCATTATTGGATCCCTCATGGGGCTCCTGTAGGCTCTCCTTGGTTCCTCGTAGGCCCTCTGGGGGCCATATTGAGCTGATGGGCCCGAGACGCCCAGCATTGTCCAAAAACCACCAGGGATCCGTAGATGTTCAACTGGTGTTGGCCGTCCTGAAGGCATATTGGCCTTCTTTTGGCGGTCTTGGAACGTTCTTGGAGTCTCGTTGGCGCCTCTTGGGTCTTCTTGGGTGGCTTCTGAATGCTGTTGAGGCGATGTTGGGCCATCTTGGCAGCCTTGGTGGCCTTCTCTGGGCTGTCTGGGGAGTCTTGGAGAGCCCTGGAGAACTTCAGGGAAGCGTCGGAGCGACCAGGAACACTCCAGATGGAAGTGCGATGCACGCAGCACTGTGTGTCGACAGGCGGGGTCATCTGGAAGACTTGACTAACCCTTGCCAGAAAGAATTTATCATTCTACAGGACCTTAGCTTACCACGGGGCACGGTGGCGGGTTCCCTAGCAATGAGTCAACAGCCGTGGCGATGGCGACAGCAACGGCGGCGGGGACGGCGGCGATGACGATGACGGAAATGTATAAACCGACGGCATGCAGGAAAGCGTTAAGAAGGCGGCAGCGAAGCGCACGATTTTCGCGAGATTGCGCAGGAGAGTGGCAGCAGAGCATCACCATCCTGCACTCACCCGAGCACGGGCCTTGCAGATGTTCACTGGCCTGGGAGGTGTTCAGAGCTGTGGCTGCTTCGGAGGGCTCTGGAGTTAAAGCTGGCCTCGCGGGCAGCAAAGAACCAGACCAGGGCGCGTCGGTGGGGGCAGGCTGACAACGTGCTCTGCGCGGTCTTGGCACTCGTCAAGGAGCCGCCAGCAGTGAGGGTGAGGCGGAGGCAGGAGGGGGCGTTGAGGGGATAGGGTGAGGGCAGATCGTTCAAGAGAAAAGATGCTTGTTCAAGCGAAAAGCTGGTTCGCTCAGGCGAAAACGCAACCAGCGAAAACTACGTAGATAGACACACATAGACACAGAGAGACACAGAGGGACGCAAAGTGACACAGAGGGACACAGAGGGACACAGAGGGACACAGAGGGACACAGAGCGATACAGAGGGACACAGAGGGACACAGTGGGACACAGAGGGACACAGAGGGACACAGTGAGACGCAAAGGGACACAGAGTGGCACAGAGGGACACAGAGGGACACAGAGGGACACAGAGGGACAAGAAGAGACACAAAAGGACACAGAGTGGCACAGAGGGACACAGAGGGACACGGAGAGACACAGAGGGACACAGAGGGACACAGAGGGACACAGAGGGACACAGAGAGACACAGAGGGACACAGAGGGACACAGGGGGACACAGAGGCACACAGAGGGACACAGAGGGACACAGAGGGACACAGAGGGACAGAGGGACGCAGAGAGAAATTGAGACACAGAGGGACACAGAGCGACACGGAGGGACACAGAGGGACACAGAGAGACACAGAGCACAAGGACGCAGCGAGACACAGAGGGACACCGAAGCACACAGAGGGACACAGAGGGACACAGAGGGACACAGAGAGCCAGAGAGGGACACAGAGGGACACAGAGAGACACAGAGACTCACTATGGCGCGCGCAGGCGCTGCGGTGTGCGCGGGCGTGTGGCGCACGCGTCGTTGCAGCAGGAGCTGCCGTGTACTTGCACAGGCATGGTGGGTATACGCAAGCGTTGTGGTGTACACATCACAAGCTCTGTGGAGTACACATGCGCCGTGAGGTACGCGATCGCTGTAGCACCCAAAGTCGCTGTGATGTAAGTGTGCGACGACAACGACGACGACGACGACGACGACGACGACGACGACGACGACGACGACGACGTAGGCGGCGCGCCTCGGGGGGTGCGCGCCGCGGCCCCCCCTACCGTTATCCCCCCCGCCCCGCCCCCCCCCCCGGGTAACACGTGTCCAACCAGGACTAAAGAATGATGTCCATTTGCGGCGCGCAATTGGCGTCGGGCCCGCCGCCGGGCATTCCCCCTGGCGCGCGGCCGCCTCCAGCGCCGGAAGGCACGTCGTAGAGGAAAAACATTGGAATCCAGAGAGTCAATCCGTAAACTCTGGAGTTTGGGGAATCTCCTCTTCCGATTCCACTGGGATCCAGAGGTAAGAATCCGTAATTTTCGGAGTTCAAGGTTCGAAGATCGTGGTGGCCCCCCAGGAGGCTCTTGGTTGCCCCTGAGGAAGCTCCTCGTGGTCCCTCAGGAGGCCTTTGGTGGCCCCTCAGGCGGCTCTTGGTCTCAGGAGGCTCTTGGTGGCCCCTCGCGCCGCTCGATGCAGGTCTGCGATCCCTCCAGCCGTCCAGTGTCCAGACCGCGAAGGAAGAGGAGGATCAGAAGGAGGAGGATGGAGGGAGGAAGGGGGCTTCAGGAGGATCACGAGGACGACGAGGAGGATGAAGAGGCAGGAAGGTGGAGGCAAAAATGACGAGGAGACTTCAAGGATGATGATGGTGATAATGATGATGGTAATGTCGAGAATGATGATGGTGGTGATGATGATGGTGATGGTGCTGTCGCTGTTGTTGTTGATGATGATGGTGGTGATGATGATGAGAATGAGGCGAGAAACATCAAGATAGTAGTGGCCATGATGCTGATGAGGACGAGTGTGAGGATGGACATCTTTCCCCGAGGAGACTGTCGTAAATCATAGATCGAGATCAAATGTGGCAGCGAGGATGAGGATGCCGATCCTTCCAATGCTGGTGTTGCTGGTGATGGCGATGCGTATGAGGCTGCTGATTATTAAGAGGGTAATGATGTTGATGACGCCGGCTACGATGACAACGATGATGACGATGCGCATGAGGCTGGGCACGATGATAACCATGATGGCGATTAAGAAGATAGGTGGATGTTGATGTTTATCGTCATGACGACGTCGGCGAAGGCCTCCACAATGAGGGTGACGATGGTGATGGTGAGGACCACGGCGATACGGATGATCATGATGATGAGGATGATGATGATGCTGATGATGACAAAATGAATGATACTGATGATGATGATGATGATGATGATGATGATGATGATGATGATGATGCTGATGATCATCTACTCCTGTCCACTCCTCCTCTTTTTTCCTCTACTCCTGTCCTCTCTTACTGTCCTCTGCTCTCCTCTCGTTCCCTCCTCTCCTCTCTTACTGCCCCTTTCTATGTTCCTCTCCTCCTCTCCTCTCCTCTTCTCTTCTCTGCTCATCTGTCCCCTCGTCCCCTCTGCTCTCTTCTGCTGTCCTCTCCTCCTTTCCTCTTCTCCTCCCCTCCTCTCGTCTTCTGCTCTCGACTCCTCCTCTCCTCTCCTCCCCTCCTGGTGTCCTTAGACTCCGAAGGGCCAGGCCGTGGAGGAGGAGGAGGAGGAGGAGGAGGAGGAGGAGGAGGAGGAGGAGGAGGAGGAGGAGGAGGAAGGGGGGAAAAGGAGGAGGAGGAGGAGGGGAGGAGGGCACCCTCCCTGGAATCCAGAGCTTACACTCTGGAGCTTAGGGTTTCCGACCTGATTCCCGAGTCTAGGCCCTGGAGACCAGCTGCGCGCCGCCGATTTGCTACCTCCCTTTTGCTCATCCCCCTTTTTCGGCCAACCCGAGAGGATGCCGCGACGGCGGCGGGGGCCACTCCAGCCCGCGTCGCCCCCGAAGCGCCTGGGGCCCCCGCCGAGCGCGAGCGCGCTCCCGCTGCTGACACCCAGTCGGTCAGAGAGGCACCCCCAGCGGCAGCCGCGCAGAGCTCGGCGGAGGAGGCGACGAGAGGGCAGGCCCTTGGCCCCGAGGTCCGCGCGCACCTGGATGCGGCGTTGAACGATGCGCTCCGCGCCTGGGCGGACAGCGAAGCACTCGATCCAGCGGTGGGGCCAGACAGGGCTCGCCAGCGAGCGTCGGAGTTCAGCGACCTCGTGGGGCAGCAGGTCATCCTGGGCCCTTCCGAGCGCGGCGCGTTCACTGATTGGATCGCTTGGATGACGAGCGAGACGGGTCGGGATCTCGTCACTGAGCGCGATTGCGTGGCAGCGCCCGCAGAGATCCAGAGGCGCTCGGTCATCGAGGGGCTGCGAGGCCTGTCGAAGACAGCCCTGAAGCAGCTGTGCAAAGAGCAGGGGCTGTTGCAGTCTGGCGCAAAAGTGGACCTGATCGCGCGGCTGACCTCGCGCTCGGACACGCCAGCGGGGGGGGGCCCGCGGGCCGAAGCCCGGGAACAAGAAGGCGAGCCCAGCGGCCCTGCAATCGACGCTCTGAAGGAGGAAGTGGCGGAGGAGGGCGAGCCCGCGGACGACGTCGCGACGAGCGTCGCTCCAGACGAGTCCGAATCGGACGCCGCGGCGCCCCCGCCGAGGCCAGAGGACCTGCCGGAGGGCTCCCCAGGGGCGGCGGCGGAGGCCGCGGCCGCGCGCATCGCCGCCGCGGCCCCGGCAACGGGCGGCCCCGGTTCGAGCCGCTGGCCCTGGCCACCCTGCAGGCCGCGGCCGAGGAATACGTTGTCGGCGCGCTGGCCGACGGCCGCGCGCTCGCCGAGCATCGGGGCCGAGTGACAGCGCAAGTTCGCGACTTGCACATGGGCACCTGGGCGCGCTCGGACAGCATGGCCACGCACCAGCTGCATATGCCAGACAGATGGAAGGTCCTCGCCAATAATATTGCCGCGCGCGGGCCCCCTGCGGCCCAGCGCTTGCCCCGCCCCTGGGCTCTCTAGGCACTTTCGCGGAGGTGTCCCGAGCGAGGGGGCTCGTGGCGCCGAGGGCCGGGATTTTCGCGCCTTCCGGGCAGGTGCTCCGCAAAATTTCGGTTCCCGCCAGCTGCGGGGCGCAGAGGCGCGGAGAACTTGGCACCATGGCGCCCCTCGCGCACCGCGGCTGGCGGGAACCGGAAGTTTGGCGAGGTCTTGTCCGGGACGGGCAGAAATCCCGGCCCCCGCCAGCCGCGGGGCGAACGGCGTGGAAATCTCAGCCCCGGGCGCCCCCGCAGGCCCCGCAGCTGGCGGGAACCAGGATTTTGGCGAGGTCTTGTCTGGAACGCGCGGGCAGGGGAGTGGAAATCTCAGCCTCTGGCGCGCCCCGCGACTGGCGGGAACCGGGATTTTGGAGAGTTCCCGTCCGGAACGTGCGGAAAGACCCGGTTCCCGCCAGTTGTGGGGCGCAGGGGCGTGGAAATCTCGGCGCTCCTGCGCCCCGCGGCTGGCGGGAACCAAGATTTTGAGGAGGTCCTGTCCAGAACGCGCGGAAATCCCGGTTCCCGCCACCCGCGGGGCGCAACTGCGCGGAATCTTAGCTCCTTGCGCCCTTGCGCCCCGCGGATAGCGGGAACCGGGATTTTCGATATTCCTGTCCGGAACGCGCGGAAATCCTGGTCCCGGCCCACGGGCGTGGACATTTTGACCCTTGTTTGGCGCCCTGGCGCCCCGCGGGTGGCAAGAATTGGAAGCGGTGAGTTCCTGCATGGACTGCGCAGGAATCCTGGTTCCTGCTCGTCGCGGGGCGAGGGGGGGGGCCGAGCCGCAGCCCCCTTTGTCCCACGCTGCGTGCTCGAGAAGGAGGAGGAGGAGGAGGAGGAGGAGGAGAAGGAGGAGGAGGAACAGGAGGAGGAGGAGAAGGAGCAGGAAGAGCAGGAGGAGCAGGAGGAGGAAGAGGAGGAGAAGGAGGAAGAGGAGGAGGAGATGGAGGAGGACGAGGACGAGGACGAGGACGAGGACGAGGACGAGGACGTGGACGAGGAGGAGGACGAGGACGAGGACGAGGACGAGGACGAGGACGAGGACAAGGAGGGGGAGGAAAAAGAGGAGGAAGGAGGAGGAGGAGGAGGAGGAGGAGGAGGAGGAGAGGAGGAAGG